CACACACACACCCGCTCCCCTCCCCCCCTATACTCACCGCTCCCCCTCCCCCCTACATTGACCGCTCCCCTCCCCCCCCTACATTGACCGCTCCCCTCCCCCCCCTACACTCACCGCTCCCCCTCCCCCCCCCACACTCACCGCTTCCCCTCCCCATACACTCACCGCTTCCCCTCCCCATACACTCACCGCTCCCCTCCCCCTCCCCATACACTCACCGCTCCCCTCCCCCCTACACTCATCGCTCCCCTCCCCCCACACACTCACCGCTCCCCCCCCCCCACACACCGCTCCCCTCCCCCTCCCCATACACTCACCGCTCCCCTCCCCCCCCCCCACACACCGCTCCCCTCCCCCCTCCCCATAAACTCACCCCTCCCCTCCCCCTGCCATAAACTCACCGCTCCCCTCCCCCTCCCCATAAACTCACTGCTCCCCTCCCCCTCCCCATAAACTCACCGCTCCCCTCCCCCTCCCCATAAACTCACCGCTCCCCTCCCCCTCCCCATACACTCACCACTCCCCTCCCCCCCCCCCATACACTCACCACTCCCCTCCCCCCCCCACACACACACCGCTCCCCTCTCCCTCCCCATACACTCACCGCTCCCCTCCCCCCTTACACTCGCCGCTCCCCTCCCCCCCTACATTCGCCGCTCCCCACAAACCTGGTAAATTGTGGGTCTGGTAGCTGAATGGACAGCGCGTGGGACTCGTAATCATGTAGACCCGGTTCGATTCCCGGCCCCGGCTGAGACAAATGGGCAGAGTTTCTTTCGCCCTGATGCCCTGTTACCTAGTAGTAAAGAGGCACTTGGGAGTTAGGCAGCTGTTTCATTCCCAGGAAGCATCCTGTGTGTGTGTGTACTCACCGAGTTGTGCTTGCGGGGGTTGAGCTCTGGCTCTTTGGTCCCGCCTCTCAACTGTCAATCAACAGGGTACAGGTTCCTAAGCCTACTGGGCTCTATCATATCTACACTTGAAACTGTGTGTGGAGTCAGCCTCCACCACATCACTTCCTAATACATTCCATTTGTCAACCACTCTGACACTAAAAAAGTTTTTCTAATATCTCTGTGGCTCATTTGGGCACTCAGTTTCCACCTGTGTCCCCTGGTGCGTGTGCCCCTTGTGTTAAATAGCCTGTCTTTATCTACCCTATCGATTCCCTTGAATCTTGAATGTGGTGATCATGTCCCCCCTAACTCTTCTGTCTTCCAACGAAGTGAGGCTTAATTCCCGTAGTCTCTCCTCGTAACTCATACCTCTCAGCTCGGGTACTAGTCTGGTGACAAACCTTTGAACCTTTTCCAGCTTAGTCTTATGCTTGACTAGATATGGACTCCATGCTGGAGCCGCATACTCAAGGATTGGTCTGACATGTGTGGTATATAATGTTCTGAAAGATTCCTTATTCCTTACACAAGTTTCTAAAGGCCGTTCTTATGTTAGCCAACCTGGCATATGCCGCTGATGTTATCCTCTTGATAGGAGCTTCAGGGGACAGGTCTGGCGTGATATGAACCCCCAGGTCTTTCTCTCTGTGACTCTTGAAATATTTCATCTCCTAAATGATACCTTTATCTGGTCTCCTGCTCCCTACCCCTATCTTCATTACATTTGCTTGGGTTAAACTCTAACAACCATTTGTTCCTGCAGCTTGTCAAGGTCTTCTTGAAGCCTCAAGCTGTCCTCGTTTGTCTTAATCCTTCTCATAATTTTGGCGTCGTCAGCAAACATTGAGAGGAATGAGTCTATACCCTCTGGGAGATCATTTACGTATATCAGAAACAGGAAGGTCCAAGTACAGAGCCCTGTGGAACTCCACTGGTGACTTCATGCCAGTCTGAGGTCTCACCCCTCACTGTAACTCTTTGCTTCCTATTGCTTAGCTACTCCCTTATCCACTGGAGCACCTTACCATTTACTCCTGCCTGTTTCTCCAGCTTATGCATCAGCCTTTTATGGGGTACTGTGTCAAAGGCTTTCCGACAGTCCAAAAACGAATGCAGTGCTCCCATCCTTCTCTTTCTTGCTTAATCTTTGTCACCTGATCGTAGAATTCTGTTAAGCCTGTAAGGCAAGATTTACCCTCCCTGAACCCATGTTGATGGGTTGTCACGAATTCCCTTCTCTCCAGATGTGTTACTAGGTTTTTTCTCACATGAACAAATCCACAAGGTCTGATCAGGTGTGGTCTCTGTGTGTAATGATGTAAGGACGAAGAGGGAGAACGGCCTATTGACATAGCTCGGATGCAGGAGGGAGTTGTGTAAAACCCTGGTCTGTGCCTCGGAGAGGCTGCAGGATCCAGTAAGTTCAGTAGAACTTCGGTTTCAACTCTCTTTAACCCTGTCGTAGCTCAATCGATTAAGGCAGTGTCTGGGATGCTCCCGGACGCAGGTTCGAATCCTCGTCACAGCCCTTGTGGATTTGTTCATTTGATGCATCACGTTAGTGTGATCTGTGTGTGTAATAGTGTAGTGTTTTTCTCAATCTTCTCCATCACCTTGCATGGTATACAAGTTAAGGACACTGGCCTGTAGTTCAGTCCCTCTTGTCTGTCACCCTTTTTGTATATTGGGACCACATTCGCCGTGTTCCATATTTCTGGTAGGTCTCCCGTTTCCATTGACCTACTATACACTATGGAGAGTGGCAAACAAAGTGCTCCTGCACACTCTTTCATTACTCATGGTGATATTCCGTCCAGCCCAACAGCTTTTCTCACGTCCAGCTCCAATAGGTGCTTCTTGACCTCATCTCTTGTAATTTCGAACCTTTCCAAGGTCGCCTGGTTTGCTGCCACCTCTCTTAGCGCCGTGACCTTTCCTTGTTCTTTTGTAAAGACCTCCTGGAACCTTTTGTTGTCAGTTCTTCACAGACCTCTTTGTCATTCTCTGTGTACCTGTCCTCACCCATCCTAAGTTTCATCACCTGTTCCTTCACTGTTGTCTTATTCCTGATGTGTGTGTGTGTGTGTGTGTGTGTGTGTGTGTGTGTGTGTGTGTGTAAAAATAGCAGTTAGTAACAGTTGATTAACAGTTGAGAGGCGGGCCGAAAGAGCAGAGCTCAACCCCGGCTAGCACAACTAGGTGAATACACCCCCCCCCCCCACACACAGAGCCGTGTCAAGGTTAACTTTTATTTGTTGTATTTATTGTCCATTTTACATTTGGACAAATTTATTGGTTCAGTTGTGTGCGTGTGTCTGCGTGTGTGTGTACTCACCTAGTTGTGCTTGCGGGGTTGAACTTCGGCTCTTTGGTCCCGCATCGTAACCGACAATCAACTGGTGTACAGATTCCTGAGCCTACTGGGCTCTTATCATATCTACATTTGAAACTGTGTATGGAGTCAGCCTCCATCACATCACTTCTTAGTGCATTAAATTGTTTAAACACATTAAAACTTTTCACCTTCAGTGTTTCTATTGTTCATATGAATTCGCAGTTTTCACCTGTGTCCCCTTATGCGTCTACCACCTGTGTTAAATAAACTGTCTTTGTCTACCCTATCAATTCCTCTGAAAATCTTGCATGTTGTGATCATGTCTCCCATAACTCTTCTTCCAGTGATGTGAGGATCAGTTCCTGTAATATTTCCTCGTAACTCATACCCTACAGCTCGGGTACCAGTCCACTGGCATACCTTTGAACGTTTTGGGATCTTGTGTTTGACTAGATACATACTCCACGCTGGTTCAGCGTGAATCTTGGAGTATGCGGACCAATCCTGCATACTCCAGGATTGGTCTGACATGTGGTATATAAGCTCCTAAATGATTCTACTTTACACAAATTTATAAAGGAAGTTCTTATGTTGACGAACCTAGCATACGCCGCTGATGATATCCTCTTGATGTGGGTTTCATGTGACAGGTCTACCATGACAATTGCCTGGTCTTTCTCTCTCCCAGATTCTTGAAGGATTTCATTTGTCAGATGGTACCATGTATCCGGTCTCCTGCTCCTTACCCCTATCAACGGTCGCTCTTTAACATCGCAATAGAGCCGATCCTGAGGACAGCAATCAATGCTGGGGTGAAGTGTGACTGCTTGGCTCACTCTGACAACATAACCTTGTTAGCTAAAGCAGAGGAAGGTCTGAAAAACTTTATAAACATAACTTCCACAACATGGGAAAAATGAGGCTTACATTAAACCCAATTAAGTGCTCTACAATGCACATGTCAAGATGGTAGTCGCGAGGGAGGAGAGAGACAAGTTTGGGAAATGTGCATCAGAAGCAGACGCCACAGCAAAGAGACCACCATCCTTGGCCGACCAGTAGGAGTCCATCTCCTACCAAATTCAAAGATCATTGATGAGTTAAGGCAGCTAGGAGAAAACCATCCTTACCAGCCATGGCAACGCTTTGAAAAGTCTTAGTCTTCCCCACCACAGGCTCTTGGGGCGTCCCCTTCGCAGCAGAGGACTCAGACGTGTTCCTCGTGCACTCGGCCTTCAAATACCTCACCAAGCTGGACCTAGACACCGGGAACATTGAAAAAGACTAGGTGAGAACGCCGACCTTGAGAACCTGTGTAAATACTTCTCATAAGAAGAAATGCCGCACAACGCAGTGGACCACGAAACATTCTGGTCCTATACATGTAACGCCTCAGCAAGAATGCACGCCACGTGGTCTACAGATGGACCAGCACTTCAAATTCTGTGTGGAGATAGACTCCTGAAGCTAACGGAGAGGCAGAATGTGGCACACAACATCAGGAAGCACCACCGAAGCCTCCAGCAAATCTATATGAGAAGCCAGAGCAGAGCTAAGTTATTCAGCCAGTCGCACCAGAACACGCATCGTTCTTGTTCATAAGAGATGGAGCATATGCCACCTTTACTGACTGGCGCTTCATCCATCGGGAACCACAAAACCTGCTGCCGCTTAGTGGAGCAAGACGCTTCCATCACATATATATATGGAGCAGACGATGCCAACAGCCAGAGGAGACCCGGCCGCACATCCTCAACCACTGGCTGGGGATGTCCACCGGCCTACAACAGCACCACAGTGCACGGGTGGAGCGAATTCTGAAGGACGCCGAAGGTAGACACTGGAGGATAATATCAGCCAACCAGCCAATTCCTGGAGTGGCAAGCACCCTGCGACCCGACATTGGCATCGAAAAAGGGGGTGAAGTTCTGCTGATAGACGTTACATTCTTGAAGAATGTAACGTCTTCGAGAACGGCGCAGACTCCTTCGACGAAGCCAAGCTACGGAAGGAGGAGATATATTGCAGCCATAATATGTCGGACCTACAGGCAAGTGAGTGTCCACACATTCAATGCTGGACCCCCATGCGTATACGACCCAAAAAACAAATGGCTGATGAACAAACCGGCTTCACAAAGATACCAGAAGTTGTTTAGAGGATTGTGCGTCAGGGACAATATCAGATGGTTCCGCATGTTGGACATTGAGGACATCACCGAGGGTCGACAATATTAATAACATGCCTGTGTATTTTGTACACAATATATGAATTCTATCCCATTTAAGTTGTTGTCGGGAAAACCTGCTTCTTAATGGCAGATTATAGAACTATGTAAACTTTCATTTTAACTATGAAAATGTTAAGACCACGGAGCATTTGTAAAAACCAATATAAACATTCCACAATAAACAAATCTATTTTTATCAGCCCAATATCTGATACGATCCCAATGCGTCATCTTCGGTATTATTCTGATTTCTCGATCATGGCAAAGTGCTCGGGGCTTGCTCAATCTTTGCCACGAATCGATCCGGAACTTCAGAATCTCAAGGATCAGTCCACTTCCCAATGAGAGACCAAAAGTAATCAATTACTGTAATTCTTAAGAAACTAATATGTAACCTTAATAAAGTATCTAATATCGTAAATCTTAGCTATAAATATTGTTTTTGCTGGTTTAGATTTAGCTACTCAGAACGAAATGTGGATGTAGCACGGGCTATAGTGAGCCCGTAATTGAGTTCGGTTATTTGCGATAACCTTGTTACTGTGATATGTAAACCTTATACTATCAGGTAACTAATATAGGCCTTCACACACGGTCCACACCTCTCCTCTACTCCTCCCATCTCACCTCACCTTTAGTCCTCCTTTCTCACCTCACCTCTACTCCTGTCATCTCACCTCACCTCTACTCCTCCCACCACTCCTCCCACCACTCCTCTACTCCTCCTCCACACAGACACGTCTTACCTCACCTTACGTACTTTAACAACACTAATGAAGGGTCGTCGGTGGCTGCTGGTGCTGTTAGTAATTATCAATCAAAGATTCAAATATATTTAAAAATGACAAAAATTAACATTACATGACAATATGAATTACATTATTTTGCTCATTATCACTAAAAAGTGTTTCTGTATAATATTCCATTGTTTCACATTCACAGTATATACAAAATACTTTAAATACTTTATTCTTGTCTCTCTTACTTTTAAAGATTCACTCGCAATATTGTTCATCAAACACTATTTGTTTAGACACTTCGTGTTCATACTTGACTTTAGCAATGTTTTTCTTTAAGGGATTCACCACCGCCTCGCCCTAATCGCTGTCTATCACAGTTTTGGCTTCGTTTCAGGCTCATTATAATAATGATGGGCTTTCAAATATCACCAAAAACAACCACTTCAAAAACAATCCAACACCCTAACACCTGCGGCGCCCATAACTGGTCAGGGCGTTGCTGAGTGACGGGCCGCACTGTGTTGATATTAGTGCGGCAATAACACCTTACTAGAAGTTCTCGTTGAGAACTGGACGTGTTCAATACCGGTATAACATTCACAGAAGAAGTGACACTGGCACTTCTGCAGTGAAACATATGATTGAAAATTGGGGAAATTAATAGAAATCATATTTTTTGTTGTATTCGAAAACTTTTAATTTTGTATCTTTATCAAACTAGGAAAATTATGAAAAAAGTACCAAATTATCAATGCTTAGAACCAAAAGTACCAAACAGCAAGAAATATACCTAATTTGGTATGAAAGTACCAGGTTCGACAACCCTGGGTCAATTACCCGAAGAGCTTCTGGAGAGTGAGAGATAGTGTGTATACCTGTCAGTGGACCGTCTACCTTTACCCTGCGAAGATTCCGAGGATCAATGTCCCGTGCCTTCACAGTTTTGTTGTGTCAATTGGTCACTCAGAGTGACATCAAATTAGTGTCACTGGGTCGCGGTGTGTTATTGAGAGCAAACACGCCCACCTAGACAATTGGAAGTAGTGGGAACTCATGGAAAAATAGAATGGTTAGACTGCATCAGTGCAAGCTTCCCACTGTGGAAAAGACCTATGATTGATTAAGATATTACCACAATAGTGTGGGGTTATATATTTAAAAATTATATTAGCATGCACTACACAAATAATTGAAAAGCCTTAGCTGTCACTATAGTCCAGCCTGGGAGTTCCTTGGAGTTTCTGACTGTAGGTAATCAGGTATCTCAGTTTTTCTTAAAGAATTCTATTTATTAACACATGGTAATTGATTGAAGAAAACTGCATGTACCTATTGGTATTTCTACACATCACCACAGATAAATGATTGTGATAAAAGCATCAATAACAACATTTATTGCAAATAGTTTGGTTCACAAAATCTACTTGATTTTGTTGAATATCTCTGGCCTAGCTCTCTTAATTTTTATTGTAAAATACAATGATATTTGTAAATAACTACTAGTTATACCATTAGCATCATCAGCCTAATATTAAGGTATACTAATAACTATGCAAAAATTTGATTACTGATAAAAGATTTATTTATACTATGAATGATATTATTTATAATTCAATTGATTGGTATAATTTCTCTGAATATATATGGATATGATTCATAGATTACTTTCTATTTAATTGGCGCATGACCCGCTTTATAACGACACTTCAGCTATTAATAATGGAATAGTTAATGATAGGCTGAAATAAATTGGGCAGTATTATAAAAGTACACAAATAACTTACAGTAATTGAAGATCGGTGCGTGTCTGATTATTGCTAGACTACAGATCTCTCCTGTCGAGATCAGGCACGATATTTTGAAGTGTTGAAGATAATTCTGCTTTGCAAGGATGGTTGTAGATATTGCATTTGCGTTAGTTCTGGGGTAGGTACCGTCACTTCGTGGTGTTTGTTTGCACCGTATAGTCGCTTAGCGGTTAGGAACTGAAGTGGCTGAAACACTTTGCACACTCTAGTCAATGTTCTACACTTAGATAAGCGTGTGTTATACAGTGATAGGTAATGGTTGTGTTTGTAGCTGCTTTCACAGTTCATAACTCGGTTAGGAGACCACACAGTAGCAGGTCTACACTGTGAGTAGTGTAGACCTGTGATTGCTGTGATTGTCATTGCTACACACTGCTACAGCAGGTCTACACTGTCATTGCTACTATGCCTACGTTGGCCTCTGGGCTGTAGATAACAAATATAGGATGTATAATGCTGCAAGTAGCCACAGAAATGCATCTATTAATATATTAGTATAGTGGAAATTTTCCAGACACACACACACACACACACACATCACATCACATGGGGGCCTCGTAGCCTGGTGGATAACGCGCAGGACTCGTAATTCTGTGGCGCGGGTTCGATTCCCGCACGAGGCAGAAACGAATGGGCAAAGTTTCTTTCGCCCTGAATGCCCCTGTTACCTAGCAGTAAATAGGTACCTGGGAGTTAGTCAGCTGTCACGGGCTGCTTCCTGGGGTGTGTGTGTGTGTGTGGTGTGGGGAAAAAGTAGTTAGTAAACAGTTGATTGACAGTTGAGAGGCGGGCCGAAAGAGCAAAGCTCAACCCCCGCAAACACAACTAGGTGAATACACACAGACACACACAATCTGAATCTGTACACCTGTTGATTGACGGTTGAGAGGCGGGACCAAAGAGCCAGAGCTCAACCCCCGCAAACACAACTAGGTGAGTACAACTAGGTGAGTACACACACACACTAATAATAATAATAATTATTACAAGGAAAACTTTCATATTTATACACACACACAATTCATATCAAGAACTAAGAAGCATCAAAAACGCCATGAGATCGAAATGCTTCTGGACGACATCTACAAGTTAGAAGACGACAAAGTCATCACCACTGACACACTTCAGGCTGAACTACTAACAGAAGCGGGGAAAAAACGAGGAACATATTCATCAACAATCTTAACCCCACGACTCAAAGAAGCAGCAAAACAACTAAAAAAGCTGGAAGATGTAACAATAAGAAAAGCCGATAGGACAGCAGAATGTGTTGATTCCTACCCAAGAATATATGAATCAAATTAGCGACATCCTCAGAGACGACACCAAATTTCAACGAATCACGAGGAACCCTGTGGAAGACCTTAAACGCAAAGTGAACAAAACTATAACTGCAATCAACGCAAAGAGAGGTAGTGTGCATGTTACGGCCCTCTCGGGACGCAACGGGGTTCTTACTCTGATGTTGTTAGAGTAAGATATATCCGACCCCAAGCCAGTAGTGGCTTTCAAGGGATGTGATCCGTGACGCAAGAAACTCAAAGGGGGAAGGGAAAGAAAGTTAAGAACTTAATATAATATAATGTCCGCCACCAATAAATAATATATAAAAAGGTTACACAGGGGGAGGGGTATTAACACTATACAAGGGGAAATACATTGTAGTCTTCTGCTGAAGACTATGGATCCTCGCTCTCGGTGCTGAGTCCTCGGTGCTTCTGTGGCCACACAACGAATTCTCTGCGAAGTTGAGCCTACCCTGGCCACAGGTCAGCCAAAACACGGGTCCACTGGGGGCACCGCCGTGGAGGCCGTCAACCACACGTCCAGCTGGTCTGCTGGCAGGTTTTGAATCAGCAAGGCTGGTCAGGCCACTCCACGAACGATATAAGGGGAACGCCCTAGACAGGAGCCTCGTGTGACACCACAAATCACGCTCCTGTCCTCAATACCCCAGTGGATGATCGTCTCCAACAGTCGGTCCCGGGTAATCCTTTTACTGCCACTCCACTGGCAGACTAACACACCACAGTGTTCTTCCGGGGGGACGACTTCACAACTGCTGCAGCAAAGTACAAGGTATGGAGACGGCTGCCTCGGGTAGACTCACTCAACTTCCAACACAGCGGTCCCAGGTCGACTCTGTAAGCAGACACGTCATCAATAACTGGGACACACTAAGGCACCTCACTTACAGGCGCAGACACAAACGCCCACCTATCCACTCCCTAGATGGCGCTGGTGTCTGCGCACCACCTCACCAGAGGTCAGCAGCG